GCGTATTGAAAAATAAAATAAAAAGCTATTAAACGCACCCAAAATGCCTATAGACAAATTCACGAGAGGATATCAGTACAGTGCTTATGAGAAGCGACGTTGTCGCTTAGGCCGCTAGGCACTTTCATAGTCTGCAGATGTAATACAGGACCGCGTTGGCCCTCCTGTACGATAACAATAAATGCAATCCTATTGAGGCTCCTCTACATATCGGCAGACGCGTCCGCGGACGACATCTCAACAATTATTACAAATAAAAGTGTGTATACACCAAAGAATAAATTACGCTAATAAAAGAATCAAAATTTATGTAGCTAAACGCTACCTAATGAATAAATATAAGACTTATAATAACAGTGTCTGGTCCCTACTCCATTTCGGAAAAACCGTCCTCACAGGAACTGCCGGTGTTGGCTGTGATAATCACCGGTAGGATATCTTCTTGTAGGTTGTCAGCTATCCACATTTCTTTTTCAATTCTGATGACATGCTGCAGTCAGTCAGTGTTTCGGGCTGCAACGTAATGTTTAACTTGGCTCCAAACCATCTCTATTGGATTAAGCTCACAGTGATAGGGAGGCAATCGTAATACTTCTACGCCGTATTTTTCGACCAAAGTTTCGATGTTATACTTGTGGTATACATCTGCATAATTGTTTGCTACATCCAATAGTTCTGACTTTAAATAATCTTCTTCGTAAAATATATCCTTGTCTCGTAACCATTCTTGAATTTGTTGTTTTTTCCAGGAGCTTTAAGTTCTTTAAGAAAAATTCCATGTGAACAAGTCTTCTTAATTGTCTCCTGATATTCTCATCGTAGGTAAACTCCCGATTGGTTTCCTTCTTGGTCCGTTTACGTGGGTTTTTCAGAATTTTGGGTAAGTCTCCATTATGATTCAATCCTTCCTGACGAATTTTCCAGACTGTACTATCGCTAACCTCCAGCGCTGTACTGGTAGAAATAATATGTGTTGAGGGTCAGATCGAAATTTGTTTTTGTTGTATATATCAACATATTCAAAATAATTTGTCGCGCATATAAATCTAAGATTTATCCTTGTTTGAAATTTTTCACCTCTAAATGCCTTTTCACCTAAAAATTCATGTTTTTGGCACAGTAGATAAAAAAAGTTTAAAAATTAATTTCACTTATTTTTTGACAATTTAACGTATCTTCTCGAATGCACACACAAAACAGTTAACCCGTTTCTACAAACTGCAAAACTGCTATAGATATACGCACTCGTATAACAATTAGTAGATACTATTATCAGGAAAATTCTAAATCGGTATTTAATTACAACAATACCGAAATTTCTATACGGTTAAACCATTTTTACAAACGCCCATTTGTTCTCGGACGCGACTAGTTCGCGTTCGAGACGCATCGCCCCGCCCCTTATTTTTCCCGTTGGTTCCTCCCTGACCTGGAAATCCCTAATCGCTACTTCAGAAAGTATAAAAATAGGCGATTTTCAGGTCAATCAAGTCAGTCCTTCACGGGCTCTCCGAGAGCTTAGTGCTCTCGAGGCTCTGCTTTTCTTGTTTTAGCTTTGCTATACTCTGTGGCTGAGTATTTTATTTCAACAATATTTGGTGTTTTATTTCGACTACTATTTAGTCATGTAAGAAATATCTTGCCTTTGTCAAGGCAAGTCACCGAAGCCGAGAACCTGATGCCTATTTCGACAACTTCGTATGTCATGTAAGAAATAGCTCGTCTTTTTTAAGTCGAGCTCATCAGATTAAAATATTCACAAGTCTATACCCTGTAAATAGACTTGGGTAGAGGTGCTTTCGTTGACGTCTCCGAAGCCCTCTACAGAGCACACGGTGGTACAGAAGGTGATTTAGACCCTTTCCATTTACCCCGAGGTGACACATTAGTCAGTAAGCTATTCTACGACTTTCACTTGGGATGTCATTATCGCAATACAAAATATTAATCAATTACAAAAATTTTGTTGTTAGTAAAAAATTCTTCTAATAATTAAATTTAATCTGACTCATTCATATCGACAAATCAGACATATTAAACATTTTAAAGTAGAAGACATCAAAATGATATTGCCGATATTTATGAGTTGCAAGGATTTTATTGAAAGATAGTTCATTCAATTACATGAAATCAACTTTAGGTTAAAAATATCAGTCACAAAAATCATAGCTTGTGATTAGTGTTTTAGGTTAAATATTCGTATTTTGTGCTAAGGTATCTCCAGTGCACATGGATAACTTTTAATGAAACACCCTGTATAAATAATACTAAAATATAAATGATGTATCCTCGATATATTTTCGACTTATCTACTAATCGTGGCATTTTCTTTCTATTCAAAAGGTCTCCAAACGTCCATTTCAATAAATATGACAAGAGAAGTAAGAAATTTTCTATTCGTCAAATACAACAGTGCTCAACAATTGATAAGGATCGAAGTAATATTTTACTCCAGAAATAGCCGAAGTTTGTAAAAAATTAATATAATTAAAGTAATATTAATACCCCGACTTTATTATCAATTCTAAACGAAATAAAATAAATTTTGCCATTATGGCCATGTTTTACTAGGGTCAGCAAAAAGTTAAATATTAAAAAGTCGTCTATTTTCATTTATTCTATTCTAAGTAATCATACTAGGATCTCAACAAAGTTTTAAAATATTTGAAATCATAATTATGATCCTTATCAATTGTTGAGCACTATATTACGACGATGTCCGAATATTTTCTGGAACAGTCATTAGGGCAAATCAGTGAATGTTAGTGCAAAATTGCAAGTGCTCCGTGTGTAAGCTAGTGTTAAGTTCGAAGTCGGCTCTGCCACGTTGAGGCCGACGATGAACTAGCAACGCTGCATCGTTTTCTTCCATTTGATTAACATTGTCCGTAAGAACCAACGCTGAAATCTACTGTTTAGAATGCATTTGAATGACGCGTAAAAAAGAAAAGCAGTTGTCAAACTCGAAGAATGTTGGTCCCTAAGGCAAGTTTGATTTGAACGGGAGTTGTATTCGCATATGGAAACTCAACCAAAGATGGACTCATTTTTACTTAATAGCATGGTTAGGTGCTTGTAGAGGACAGAGCAACAAGATGAGGTGTTAGTCACAAGTCGAAAAGCTAACGAAATTTTGTAATAGTTCATAAACCATGAAGATAGGTAATTTTTGGTCTAACGTTGGATTTTCTGATAAAAAAGTGTTCCAATTATATAGCAATTGCCGAATAAAAGTTTATAGGCTGAGAAACCATAGGTTTATTGAACGCTTTACTCATTATTTAAGAAATCGTGAAGGATTCTCGGTCAACGTATGGGGATGTATAAGTGCTAAAGGCCCGGGTGTCTGTTTTCGTACAGAAAAAAAATTAGCAGAATTATATTACAAACATATTCTTGAGAACATAATGTTGCCATCGGTGATCCAAGAAAATTGTTCGAGAATTGTTGGAAGAAACTCATGTTAATGTTCTTCCGTGGCCTTCCCGGAGTCCAGACCATAATCCAATCGAACATGTGTAGGCAGAGTTGACAAAGATATTAAATGAAAGAAACCTTAGGTCACGGAATAGAATTGAACTATGGGAACTAATTGAGCAGTCATAAAAGTGAGGAGTTTGGTGCTATCTATGAACAGAAGATTGTAAACTTGTATTGACAATGATGAGGCTTCCACCAAATAAGAATTGTGTGACTGTTTATCGTTATTTAGTATAAAATATATTTAAAATAATATGGGTATTTTTAACCCAGACTTCCTTATTTTCGTTAAGACCATAATCAATTTTATTCAAAAAAACTTCTTTCTATAATCTCCGTCTTGTTACATTTTGTAAAATAGATTTATTTTATTTTGATTTTTTAATGTTAATTAACCTATTCTAGGTCCGCCTCTGGTAATTAACATCACTTTGACGTAAAATTGGCGTTTAAACGAGGTAAAAATTCCAAAAATGGGCTTCTGGATATGTAAGGGTGTATACTATTCAATGGCCGCAACTGTACCTATATGTTTACTAACTTCTTGCTTGACAAAAGTGTTGTTTTGATAAGGGAATCACAAAAATAGCCCTTTGTACAAATTACAAAAAAAAACAATCAGCATAGTTTTCTTTCTATTGTTTTATGTGTCGACTTAAGATCTTAAGACTTTCGAGTGTGCAACGAGTACGGCGATAGTACGAAGAAACTGCTCTGCTTACTTAAAGACCACTAAATATCACCGCTGTCTTGTTTCTAGTGCTTTCGGAAATCGAACTATTGTGGCAGTTACCCTTCGAAATTATTTGCAAGAAATGAGATTGCATACAGATAGGATTGTTGGTGAATCTTGAAAAAAGAATGTTTTGGACTAACTAAAGAACCTATCGCTAACAAATATTCTTTTAATTTAACATTATTAAGAGAATTAAAAACTATTTTTTCTAGTTTGGATGAATAGATCATTTCTTGTTGTTTACTGACTGCATCTGAGTAAGATAAAGGTGCTTGTGACGTATATTGCTATAATTCATCAAATTCCATTTTTAATCACCATTTGTTCATTCTAAATACGGACCTGTTCCGCTTCAGGTTTTGGTGATTACCTTTGATGACAAAAACTAGTGTTGATAAATGGTTGGTTTAATTTATTTACTCTGTCTCTGGGACACTGTGTTTACGGATTGCTTTATTAATAATAAAATATGTACTCGCAGGTTTTGTCTGCTTGATGCACCATAAACTAACATTGCAACGCTGTATGTTAGCTTAAGGTACGAATTTTGTAATTGTTTTTTTTATATTAAAATTTAATAATTTGTCAGGATCGATTAATTAGGGTGTATGCTTATTCGATATCGGTGCCGGAGTCCCTCCCTTCAAAAAATTGATCAGCTCAGAATTTATGTTATGAAAATACTCACTGCCTTTCTAACTTCGATAAAAATTGTATAATATCTAATATTCCTTTTGTATTTGTAGATCTAATTATTTCTAATTGGATATTGTTTCTTTTACAGCGGATGTAAAAAAATTAGTTGACGAGGGTTGGATGAAAAACGCCTTCAACCAGTATGCTAGTGACCTGATTAGTGTACATAGAAGTTTGCCTGACCCTAGGGATGAATGGTAAGATATATAAAATATAAAATAATTATTCACTTCTACGTTCATGTCAAAAAAAAACAAAACTATATTGAGTTATATTTAGTGAAAAACTGCTTCTTTATTACATGAAAGCAATAAAATTTTTATTGCAGTCATTTGTCATTCTACTGCAGCGTTTTTGCAATCATGACAAACATAAACATTCAACCCGACAGACAGTCGTTTTATAGGATGGATTCACTTCTATACAGAGTGTCACAAAAATATTGGTCATATAGCATACCACGATTTTTCAGGATAAAATAAGTCTGTTTGGCCTAACGTACCTATATGCAAAAGTGCGCCCAGAATAAGTTACGGGGTATTTAAGTTACAAAATAAAAACGAATTTTTAATTTTGTCCAAAACGGTTTAGAACTTTTTTATGGAAATTTAGTGGTATTAATTTCGGGAGACGATGTGAATGTCTTTTTACCAGGTTGGAATTGTCTACATATTAGAAGATATTGATGTTTCTGGTTTCATAGTATTTTCGGTGTTATCTACAGCTGGTGATGTTGCTTTGTAAGGAGAAGATGAAGAAGTTAGGTTATCTTGAGATATGGTTTTTGATGGTGTAGGTTACCCACATGATTATATTATGTTCATGATATTTATATAATTATTATGTGGTTTGCGTTAAGAGTTTGTAGTATAAGTCCATTTTGATTCTTGATGGCCAATGATTTTGCATTTGGAACAGCTGAATCTGTCTATGGAAAAATGTAGCCGGTAAAAATTATTATCACGAATTGTGCTACGAACTTCTCTATTATACATAAGATGAGTTACATCTTTTAAAAAAATTAATGGCGGTTGCGTTTCGATTTAATTTGAGTCTCTTACTCTCTTACACGTGTTTCTGGGTCTACTCGTTATCAGAGAGAGTTTGTAAGAAGACTCAAACCAAATCAAAACGCGCCGACTACTAAGGCAATTATAGGAAAACAATTACCAGAGTATGCTACTAGAGACCTCTAGTGAGGAAAGATAAAGTTAAATGTCGATAGCAATTAAAGTAAACCGTATACCCAAGCTTAATCAAGCCATTTAGAGCAATGCTGGGAATATTTATATTCCAGTATGCATCAACGATTTACCCATATAAATTACACTATCATTTTTGTACTCATTGCGTCGAGTAAGGACAATAACAAAATAAATGGTGATTGCGTTTCGATTTAATTTGAGTCTTTTTCCATTCTCTTACACCTGTTTCTGGGTCTACTCGTCATCAGAGAGAGTTTGTAAGAAGACTCAATCCAAATCAAAACGCGCCGACTACTAAGGCAATTATAGTAAAACAATTACCAGAGTATGCTACTAGAGACCTCTAGTGAGGAAAGATAAACTTAAATATCGATAGTATTTAAAGTAAACCGTATACCCAAGATTAATCAAGCCATTTAGAGCAATGCTGGGAATATTTATATTTCAGTATGCATCAACGATTTACCCATATAAATTACTATCATTTTTGTACTCATTGCGTCGAGTAAGGACAATAACAAAATAAATGGCGGTTACGTTTCAATTTAATTTGAGTGTCTTTCCATTCTCTTCCACGTGTTTCTGGGTCTATCTCGTCATCAGAGAGAGTGTAAGAACATCTTTTGCATCTTTTACTCTGTCAAACGCTTTCTTTAGGTCAATCAGATACAGAAATGCTGGTCTATTATACTCTAGTGTTTATAGTTTCTAGTATCTCCTTGTTAGTATAGGTTTTGTGCCTTTTCTTTTGTTGGCTGAGTTTTGGAGACAACAGTTGAAGTATGTCTGTGAAAGAACTAGCATTGATATCGGCATCAGCCTGCTTACTGGTGCCAGGTTGAGGAGCATAATTATCAGATCTGTCGGTTGAAGTTACAAACAATTGCTGATTTGGAATATCAGATTTAGCAGATCGAATTATTTCAGATTGATGCAATGCTGACGTTGGCAAATCTTCCGAGATGCAATTTTGGGAAGAAGTTTCAAATATTGTTGAAGGCAGAAAGTCAGTCTCGTCATCAAATATATCTCTGTTATACGGAAATATGCCATTTTTTTAATTCCTTTAGTGTCCTTTCAACAGTTGCTACTTTTTGAAAATTGTGCAACATAATTCTATTGTTTCGTATATGGATATTTTTTCTCCAGAATGGGAAGTCAGGTAATAATCACATTCACGTGAAAACTGCTTTTTTAATGGCCCAAAAAATCAAAGACTAAAGAATTGCATTCGATGACTGCAGTGTGGAGGTAATGTTAAAAGAGTTATGTTATTTTCTCTAGCTTTAAAAATAGCTTCTAGCTGTCTTTGACTACTATGGCCATCCACTATTAGTAGAACTGGATATTCCTTAGTAGGTTTTGCGAATTTGATAAAATGTTCGAGATATATGAGAAAATGGTATTTGTCCATCCAACCAGACTCAATTACGTAGTCTACAACACCAGCTGTACTCCTTTTATTAGAAGAGGTGACATTATTTTACGAGGAAATATAAAATGAGCACAATATAATTTCCTGAAGCTGATACTCTTATATTGGAACTTCTTTCAGCACTTACAATTCGACCGACTTGTTTTTGACATGTCTAGGCTAATATGTTACTAGGTTTCTGTACTGTACTAATTCCCTATCCGTCAAAATTATATATTTATCAGCTGTAAATTTGTTTAGACGTTTTAACAGCCCGACCAGCCAATCTTCTCGTGCTCGCTTCAACACGTTATTGAAGGAATGTGGTATCTTAGCCTTTCAGCTAAGTCAAAAGCTATTCTACGGACATCAAGTTGTCTAAGTCTGTAAAATCTATTTTGCATATCGAAAAGATGTTTTACTAAAATCTTCTTCACTTAAAACAGGCTTAAAACTGCCCCGGGAGGGTCCCCGAATGGAACTGTTCTCAGCCCTTACTAATTTTAAGCGTCGTATCAAGCAAGTTTTTGGAATCTTGAATTTTTCAGCTGCAGCTCTTAAACTCCTGCCATGCTGAACAGGGATGGTAGCCTCCATTGCTGTAGCTTTGTTCCATTTGGGTGAAACCGTTTTTTCGAAGATATAAACTAATATATAGCGAAAAGATATACACTAAACAATCTTGCTAAATATACCGAGACATATAGGACCAGCGTTCCTATATACTCCAATGTAGGGGGTCCTTATTGTCCCATTTTAAGCAAAAAACATTATCAAGCAAACCTCACAAAAAGTTTAGTTAAATTAAAAATTAACGCGTGAAATAAACGCGAGAGATTTGTACGTGCACACATTTAACAGCAACGGGCTTTTGCATACTGTATTTTGTAATAAAATATCACAAAATTTTAGTAAAAATTAGAAAACTTAAAATTAAATTATTAAATTATCTCATAAACTTGACACTTTGCATTACTTACGTCCACTGACTGTCTACTGAAGCACTATTTACTGTTGACAACCTCCGGTAGCAAATTCAGCGCGAAATTCAAATTAATCGTTTCATATATGTCAATGTTCCTATATGCTCCGGGGGTCCTGTATGTCCTGGTCTCCCTAAGTATGAGACTTCATTAATACATTCCCCAAATCGGTCGTGAACTCACATCTACAAAATAGCTCATCATTTGAGTTACTGTTTAAGTTTAACCAGTTCTCATCATTATCCAATATTCAGTTATACTAATTATATTAGCATTTGTGATAAAACTATTAGTTTATGGTTTTACATCGAAATTCAAATCCGATTTAAACTTTCTTACATAGGTATTTGTGCCACTAGACAATATAAATGATTTCAATGGACGTATCTTAGCAGAACTTCTCGGAATAAAACAGTCATTTAATTATTCGAAGATTATCCTTAATTGGAAACATGTCGCTACACCGGTATTGTACATCTCAGGTGTGTTTTCTGGGTTACTTTGTTTAATTTATAGTAAGAGAGCTAAACGCAAATCGATAAGTATTTTATCTTAAAAATTATTTTTCATTACATTGAAAACTGCTGAATTTAAACTTTTTCAGTTTATGTAAGTTCTAATAACGTTTAATTACATTAAAATTTGTAACTTTTGTAAATAATAATTATTAAGAAAATAGGCATACTCCTACCCTGAAACAGAACGAAATTGTAGAATATAAGTCTCTCCGCTCATTTCTCCGCTCATAGAATTAGTCAATTTATCTATTAATTTTGGACCCCCGATATTAATCTTTTACCCCTGAGAAGAGTTGGCATTCACCCCCCAAGTAAAAGCAACGCTGGCTCAAATCCAAAGTGAAACAGAGGGTAATAGGAAGCTAAATTCAAATTTTCAAACAAATCCGTCGTGACGAAGAAAATTACACTCCAAAACGATCATTTTGGAGTATTTACTAATATAATGGATGTTTTTTATAAAGTATAGAACTTTGAATTAGTATAGAACGAGTATAGAACTGTATGCAAGAGAGATACTTCTAGGAATAATCAAAATGATCGAAAATATCTACCAAAACAACACAATAAAAGTAAAAGTAGAAGAAGAACTAACCGACCCTATTGAAGCTGGCAATGGAATAAGACAGAGAGATTCCCTGAGTCCTCTATTGTTCAACCTGATTATGGATGAAATAATAAAAAAAGTAAGAACTAAAAAAGGATACCAAATGGGAGAAAAACAACTTAAAATAATCTGCTATGCAGACGACGCAATACTACTCTCTCAAAGTGAAGATGATTTACAACATATGCTGCACCAATTTAATATAACCGCCAGAAAATTTTACATGTTAATTTCTCCAACAAAGAAAATGCATGGTTACAACAGCAAATTTACTAAGACGTAAATTGAAGCTGGAAGGTCAGATAATAGACAAGTGATGGAATTTAAATATCTAGGCATCACATTATCTAGCTACGGAAAGCTCGAAACCGAAGTGAAAGATCGTGAATAGAGCAAACAGAGCCGCAGGCTGCCTTAATGAAACAATATGGAGAAATAAAATATCGGGAAAGAAACGAAAGGCAGAATTT